AAAAGCACTTAATTACTGATCAGTGATCATAAGAGTTAGTGCCTACAACCTCTTCCAAGGGAGTTCCTACTTTGTAGATCATTCTTACTTGAAGAGTAGAAGCAATGGTTATATGTAAATCGCTGGCACCATTGGCAGGACTAGAATCTCCAAAAATGTGAGCAATGGGAGAGGTTACGCTTCACAAGGCACATTGCACCCTTGCTTGTGAAACATACACCCGCGAAACTATGGAGGAAAAAACGCATTCTACAGGCGGAATTGTGGTGAGAGCTCTGCGATCATAGGGTCTATTCCAGTTAGGGGGGGGGCATCATGATGCAGTTTTTCCAGAAAGCTAGGTAACTCCGAGCCAGGGGAGTGTAGCCAGTCTAGGGGTGGGGGTGAGGGCAGTCACTTGACATGCGTGAAAAGCTGGAATGTTCGAGTTCACACTAGTTCGCCGAGAAACTGCATCATGATGCCCCCTAACTGGAATAGACCCGATCATATTTTAGGGCTCAATTATACCAATGACAGCCTAGCATTGAAGCAGTAACCGCGAACCCCACAACCAGCTGTAGAGCTAAATAGAAGCGAGCAAAATCGTTGGCGTCAGTTGTATTGTTATGTACGCACTTTGCAACAACATGGTACATTCGACGCTTGAAGTGGCAGCAGCGCACTTTCATCGTTTACAAAGTAGCTGTAACGCAATTGAATGGTTGGGAACTTGAGAAATGGCACCGCAACTCTCCAACGATGTCTTCGTTATTTTTCCGACTCACCAGTGAAGACAGTGGCCAGTCTTTCAACGAAATCTGATGTCAAATTAAATGTTGGTGGAGTTCCTGCGTCGTAAGCCTTTGTTCTGATGGTTTTGTTCATTGCAGGGTTGGGTGCAGAAGTCACACAAGTGTGGGGCGTTCACATTCCTTCACATTTCCGATGGACTATCTTCCAAGCAGGTTCAGGTTGTGGTGCCGAGATCCTCGTGCCCATCAGGTATATTCGTTTTATATGAATTACAGATGTTCTATGATTTGATTGAGATTCAGTGTGTTATTGCCACGGATTCCCTTAGGTAGAAAAGATGCCTCATCCAGTAGAGAGGGTGGGTCATATGTGCGACAGTTCGTATAGCCTAAAGTAATCCAAGTTTCGAAGGGAATTCGAAGGCTCCGGGGTGGGTTTGAAAGCGGAAGCAAAATGTTCACACATGCCGGGATTTCCTCCTTTGAAAAAAATTGGTATTTCTGGACATCCTTGGATTCTGCTTTCTTTTAGGCTGGTGTCAGAGTCCGTCGCAGGTTTCGCTGATTTTCGCGATTTGCGCGATTCACGCGATTTTCGCGATTTGCGCGATTCGCGATTTGCGCGATTCACGCGACGGGTCACGGAAATCACAAGTGCCCGATCAATACTGCAAGGTGTTCTCCAATCCTGCCGCCACTTCTGCTTGATAGTGATGGCTGAATGACGACTGCTCATGATTCCACTTGTTTCATATTCAGTGTTTCAAATGTTCAAATACGGACTTGCAATTTTTGCGATCCGTCGCAGGCTTCGCGCAAGTCGCGAAAATCGTTGAAAATCAGCGGAAAATGCGACGGATCGCGGACCCTCACACCAGCCTTAGGACTTTGAACCAGTGGACTTGAAATTAGTTTTAAAAAAGACTTTGATGTTGTTGTGGTGGAATGTAGCAGGAGATGTAGGAATGCCAGTTCGAATTATGTCTCATCGCTATGAAATCATTTCTTCTTCTTTAACCCCGAACATCGAAGTTTTCATCGGCAGTTCCTTTTTTGTACTTTTGCGACGACGGTGAAATAGTGTGAAATCTTCGACCCAATTCTCTCACAGAAACTTTTGTATGCTGCCACCAGCTCTATTGGTTATTGGTCGTGACGATGTTTTGTGAGACATCATCGTTGTTGCTTTTAGTCCCCGTTGGTTGTGCAGTCTCCATCTCAGGCCGTTGGCAACCTAGTTCTGGTCCACAGCAGGACCTTGAAGTATTAGCAAGCGAGTGCGAAGTGTTGGCTACCGACCTCGAAGTAGGTACACGTTATTTTGTGCGCTTGAATGTTTCTTCTCCAAAACAAGCACATCATGTGACTGAGTTTTTAACTGATTGTTTCTTCTCAAACTCATGGGGCGGTATTCAATCCTTCCCCCAGGGGGATATATCCCCCTCCTCTGATTCAATCCTCTGGGGGGACAAAAAAGGGTTGCGTCATAGGACCTAGCATACCTCTGTGTTTCTACCTGCCAGACAGTTAGAGCAGCGCTACTACCCTCCACTGATGAAGCACTCTTTTCCCTGAGGGTCGCGCTGCTCTAACTGTCTGGCAGGTAGAAACACAGAGGTATGCTAGGTCCTATGACGCAACCCTTTTTTGTCCCCCCAGAGGATTGAATCAGAGTAGGGGGATATATCCCCTGGGGGGATTGAATACCGCCCCATGTTCATTAAATTTACATACCTCATCATACTATTTAGCCGAGGTATTCGTGTTTATCTCCGGATCAGATGCGAAAGAAGGTTCATCTTCGCGCACGTTCTCCAGCGTTTGCAGCTTTGCTTCGATTGCGATCAAAACTGCTTCTCAAGACGCACCATTACTTTTCAGTGAGTACATTTTTCAGAGGTTTCTATCAGTAAAAGCATGATATCGGCGTTAACACGTGCAAAAGATCTGGTCTTGGTTGCTGGCTCGTCCAAAGCGGAAATTCAGTGACGACCTTTTTATGGTGAAGTCCACCTTTAAAGTGTTGGGGGGGGGGGGTTTCTTCATGGCGCAGTGGAGGAAACGGTGGCGGCGATAGTAGGCGCAGCGAGAACTGCTATCCGTTGGGATCCTATTATAGAGTCTTTCCAAGTAATGCTGAACTCGCTGAAGTCCGATCACGATCTTTGACAGTAGGATATTTAGAAAGCATTGTTGTGAGGCATTTAGAAGGAAAATTTATGCATTTGCCACGTTTTGATAAGCTGAGTCTATGGGCTTGAAGAAATAATCTACAGCTCAACCCTCTTGCCTCGCCTCATTCATTTGCATTTACCTTTGACTCTTACATTTTATGATTTGGAGAAATTGAATTCTCATTCTCGTTGACGGCTCTAAGCATTGAAAATGTTGCGGAAAAGTGAAACTCTACGCAAGGTCAACCGCTGCGCTCATTCGTTTCCAAAATTATACAACCTCCCTCTCTCAGGTAGCCCGATACCATTTACCATCACCAGCATCACCACTCGTTGAGGGGGTTATCCAAGTGCGACCCCGCCCCTTCTCTGGAAATCGCAAACACGACCTCCTCTTCCGAAAATTCATGAACGACCTGCCCCCCCCCCCTCTTATCTGTTAGGACGGGGACGGTTGACACTTGCTCCAGTGATCAGTGAACCCTACGCCGACACCTACATATGATGTCCTTCCTTTGCTACTTTTACTATTCACATTATTTTTTAGAGTCATGGATACGTTCATATCGATACTCCAATGGTCACCATGAACGACTGCGAGGGAGCTGGAGAAGCATTCAGCATAGCTGTAAGTGATAATGTCTATTAAAGCAATCTCATTGAGTGTCGTTATACAAAAGATGTTCCCTTTGTTGCGTTAGATGGGAATGTTATTCCCCTGTTCTGATACCACTCTAATTTTCTAGACAACGTCTTCAACGGGTGAGGAGTTCTTCGACAAGAAAAATGTCTACCTATCGGTCAGTGGTCAGCTACATTTGGAAGCCATGGTGAGGTTGGTCTCCTACAATGATTTTCACTTTACCGTTATCTTGAATTCGTAACGGTTGAGCT